CCAACATTCATTAAGGACTTACTATGTGCTAAGCCCTTTTGTATTATCTCATTTAATCATCACAACAATCCTATTCTTATCTCTGTCTTATAGTTAGGGACACTTATGAGGCATAGGAACCCTATTCCTTATCTATGAATTGGTATTCTTTAAAAAAAACTTCAGATGAGGCAAGGGGAACATCTTTCCAAATCACTGAGAGCTTTTCCCTAATTAGCTTGAAAAAAGTCTTCAGATAAATCTACCAAGCTGAGGAGGAAATTATTTGAAAAGGTTAGCACAGAAGAATGGCCGTCCTTGGAATTTTCTCTCATAAACACCTTTCATAGATTAGGCTAATAAGGTTTCTGGGAGTCCTCCTCACAGGAAATCTGCATGCCTGACTGATCCAAGCTGACTGAGGTCAAATCATTCTTCACTGGGGGAACACATTGGGTTTTGGACTCAGAACCCCACTTTTCTCGGAATGCTGAAGGCCAGATACCATTCACAAATGATTTGCGGCAGAATATTGCTTGTGTATGAGATTCAGTGATTTTTGCCACCAAGAAGTTATAAATTGAGAAAATAAACCCAGTTATTTTTGAAGTAGTTTAAGATATTTTTAATGTGAGGGCTTGGGTTTTTTTTTTTTAAGTTTCTTTAGAAACAGTTTGCCTGCTATAACTGCATCTCAAAGGAAGGTACATTCAATAGAGAAGCTTGGGTTCAGAGGTCTCAAAGGGACCTTAGAGGACATTCAGTCCCACTCCCCTTACTTTAAATATGGGCAAATAGGCCCAGAGAAGGGAAACGACTTCCAAACGGCATAGATCAAAATGTAGGAAGCCGACTCAAAGTGCTCTCCTGCTCCTTCTAGTGCCCAGGTTGTCCTGGATATAAGCCCATCTAAGCACATCCACCCATGGAACTAGCAACACCTTCTGAACCCAGGTGATGACAACATTCAAAAGTATTTGGGGCCAGGTGCAGTGGCTCATGCCTGTAATCCCAGCACTTTGGGAGGCTGAGGCGTCCAGATCACCTGAGGTCTGGAGTTCGAGACCAGCCTGGCTAACATGGTGAAACCCCATCTCTACTAAATATACAAAATTAGCCGACCGTGGTGGTGCATGCCTGTAATCCCAGCTACTTGGGAGGCTGAGAAAGGAGAATTGCTTGAACCCGTGAGGTGGAGGTTGCAGTGAGCCGAGATCGTGCCATTGCACTCCAGTCTGGGCAACAAGAGTGAGATTCTGTTTCAAAAATAAAAGAAAACTGGCAAATTCCTCTTAGCTATAATTTAGCTAATTTTAGATGAAATAATAACAATGACGTGAAAACTTTATTACAGACATTTCAAAGCATCCAGTTAACATTTCATACAGTATAGGCAGAGAACTGAAAGAAATGGAAAGAATTGAAAGAAAGTTTAAAGGGGTGAGGAATGGGGTACTGTATTATAGTAATCACGTTATTCAAAAAGTCTGCAAGTCCTTGCTGTGACTTCTGAAGTTGTGGCCAGATAGAGGCAGAAACCAAAATAATTCTTATTTCACATTTCCAGCCTAACTTCTCTTCCTGAGTTTAGTCTATTAAAAATATCATATGACACCAACGTTCATAGTGGCATTACTCAAAATGGCCAAAAGGTGGAAACAACGCCAATGTCCACCAACAGATGAGTGCATAACAAAATGTAGTATATATACACAACGAAATATTATTCAGCCTTAAAAACGAACGAAGTACTGATCCATGCTACAACATGGATGAGCTATGCAGAGATGCAAAGCGAAAAAACCAGATACAAAAGGATACAGATTGTATGACTCCACTTATATGAGGTACTAGAACAGGCAACTTCATAGAGACAGAAAGTAGAACCATGGTTACCAGGGCTGAGAGGAATGGAGAATGGGGAGTGACTGCATAATGGGTACAGAGTGTCTGATTGCGATGATGGAAAATTTGGGAAATGGAAAGCGATGATAGTTGTATAATATTATGAATATACTTAGTGCCACTGAATTGTATACTCAAAATGGTTAAAATGATAAATTTTATGTTATGTATATTTTACCACACACACACAAAAAAAAAGACATCAAAATCAGAACTACCGGCCAGGCGCGGTGGCTCACACCTGTAATCCCAGCACTTTGGGAGGCCAAGGCGGGTGGATCACAAGGTCAGGAGATCGAGACCATCATGGCTAACACGGTGAAACCCCATCTCTACTAAAAATACAAAAAATTAGCCAGGCTTGGTGGCGGGCGCCTGTAGTCCCAGCCTGTAGTCCCAGCTACTCGGGAGGCTGAGGCAGGAGAACAGCGTGAACCCGGGAGGCGGAGCTCGCAGTGAGCCAAGATCGCACCACTGCACTCCAGCCTGGGCGGCAGGCTCCGTCTCAAAAAAAAAAAAAAAAAAAAAATTCAGAACCACCTCCCTTCATTTCTCAGTTGGAATCTCTAAACTGTATTTTGTTCATTCATTCCCACTAAAGCTGAATTTCTTCTCAAGACCTGCTTAAAGCTGACAGTGTCATGGACAATCTACATACATTCAAACGCACAGGTACACAGCCACACACAGACTACTTTGTGTCCTGCAGTGACCCATCCACAAACAGTATCCACCCCAAGACTTTACTGATCACTCCAACAAGAAGGCCCATGGCAAGCACTACTGGAGATCCAGGTAACCAAATGAACACCCCTTCAATTTCTCACCATGGGGGAATATGTATTCAGTATATAGATATTTTATCTATAAAGAAAACTGCGTGCATATATACCAGAAAGACCATCGGGAATTGCTCACCCAAGTCTGTTCCACCACACCCATGAAAAAAGAGATTTCAGCCCATATATGGCTATTTTGGTGAAGTTAGCGATTTCAAGTTACACTGAACAGTGGGTGTCCTTAATGCAAATGCATATAATTAGGAGCTAAATCTTTGTACCTTTATAGAGGACCTAATAAGCTGGATGTACCACCTGTGACTTCTGAGGAAAGGAGAGCTTTTCATTTTTTCTTAAAAGAATCCGTTTCTCAGCCGGGCGCGGTAACTCACGCCTGTAATCCTAGCACTTTGGGAGGCCGAGGCGGGCGGATCACGAGGTCAAAAGATCGACACCATCCTGGCCAACATGGTAAAACCCTGTCTCTACTAAAAATACAAAAATTAGCTGAGTGTGGTGGCACGTGCCTGTAGTCCCAGCTACACAGGAGGCTGAGGCAGGAGAATCACTTGAACCTGGGAGGCGGAGGTTACAGTGAGCCAAGATCACACCACTGCACCCTAGCCTGGTGACAGAGTGAGAATCCATCTCAAAAAGAAAAAAAAAAAAAAGAGAATCTGTTTCTCATGAGGCAAAGAGAATCTGAGAACAACAGTCTTCTGAAATAGAAATAGGGACTGGGGGGAAAGGATGTGAGTTTTGTATGTGATAGTCATAACCCATTACCCAGACCTGAGAGGTGCCATCCTGTGCCATACCATGACCTTTACTCAACTTTAATTTAAAGATTTCCACAGCCTCACCATCTTTTGTGGACATGTTGCCAGTAGCCTGATAACTGGGTCTTGCAAGCATTTAGAGATCTCAAGAGTTTGTGTGTGAAGAAAAATAATCTCTAGTGATGCTTCCCACTGCCAACACACATGAACATTTAACACAAGTAAGCTGCCACTTGTAAAAAGTCCACTTGACATCAATCCCTCGTGCATCCTGAAGACACATGTCAAGATCACACAAGATTTTAGAAGCAAACATTTTTAGAATAATGTTTTGTTCCCAAAGTGCTTAATTAGCAGAAACACTGTGCTAGGGAACTGTCCTTGAATATGCACACATTTTAACCTTCATGTTATTTTTTCTGAAGCACAAAGTTTCCTCTCAGTGGATGGTCAGGAAATGATTGGGTACAGAAAACCAACCATCTGAAGTGTTGATTCGTAAAATGAGTTCCGTCTTTCCACGCAGGATTCAGCTGCCTTCCAGGGTGACATTCCCTTTTATGAGGGGGACCATTCTTTGGTATCTAATGACCTTTTCTCTGTTCATTTAGGATGAGCAATTCACCTATGGCCTACTTATATCTGAACTCTTTCAATACCACCAACCTCTTCTGTCCCCTTGTGTCATCTTCCTACCCCCAATTTCAACCAATTATGTTTTATAAGACATCAGTTAGTGAATCACAATTCAAATGAACCCATCCATTTGCTTAGCATCAAGTGGCCCCTGGAGTTGCTCCATTTGAAGCCCATAGGCCAGAGTTACATACGGCAGGCTTGCAAATGAGAACAGGGTATGATTTATTTATGACGACCATATGTGTTTGATGCCCAATTCCAGCAGGTTGTGGCTTCTCTTGCATGTCTTGGTCTGGGATGACCTATCTACTCAGTGTGTCCCATTTCAGGTACCGTATTTCCATGCTGGGAAAAGAGAGCTGACGACTGGCTGGGGGGCTGCACATACAGATGCTCCTAACCCTGCTTGCCACATAACAATCTGTGACCAAATGCAAAGTGGGCCAAATGTAACTTGCTGCACAGGTTTGCCATGTACAATGGTTTTCAGTGGTGAGTGGAGAAGTAGCTGCTGGAATGACTGACCATGTGGGGTTCATTAAGCTGTTGTGCATTCACCCATGAGAAAGGCCAGGATGCTTGTGAAGGGAGCTCCACTCTTCATTTCAGAAATTTTAACGCCCCACCATTTGGCAGTGATGCTCCCGGGGAGAATGGCAGATATGCATCAGAAGGTTCAAACGTGGAGTCCAACTGAAGTGCAGTAAACTTCTGCCTTCAACAGTCTCACCCCCCTTTACCCCCCAGTTGTATTTATACTTTGAAAGAAGTTAACATGAAGCAGTAGTCACCTGGGCGTGCTCAATTTTTGACAAGCCTTAGTCACTCTGTACCCAGCAGAACAATTCACATTATATTCGAAATCCTGTGAAGATTCTGCCACACATGCTAACACTAAAATGCCAGTAGCTCCACTTACCTTCTTTATTAAGCCTCATAACCTCCCTGCTTTTTCCACCCTCTTTTCCAGCCTCTTCTAAATCTACATCTGCAGATGAAAAAGAAAAGGAAAACAGAAAATAAGGAAAAAAGGGGGGAAAAAAGCCAAAGTCAAGGGGGGAGGGAGAGTGTTTATTTGCAAACAGATCGATATAAATACTGTATATGAAATTCTTTCAAAAATTGACAATGCAACATTTTCTCCCAAGTCCGGGTTTCCATCTACCTGGCCCAGATAGGTACCCAAAAAACTATGCAAGCAGCAACAGAGTAGCCTTTTAAACGGACAACACCGTGGGGCTGCGAGCCCACCCCGCGGGCTGCCACGGGGAGCCGGGCACGGACAGACAGACAGCCCTGGCAGCCGGGCCTCTCCCTGTGCATTGATGATCTGTCTCTGTGTGTATTTATTTAGAGAGAGAGGGAGAAGCATGGAGGACACCGGGGGCCACTCTCTCTCTCACACACACACTTTTTCCCAGTGGCTCTAGGTGAATGGAAAGGTTACAGGATAATAAAAGGAGGAGGAGGCGGTGGGGTTCTTACTGTCGGAGCAGTGTAATTTGGCGGCGTCGATCCAGGAGGACCAGGGTTTGCCCAGAAACGCCTCCGGACTGGGCACTTTGCGATCCAGTGTCGCCATTGCTCTTCCTTCTTGTTGCTTTTTCCCTGTTCCTTCGGCAGCAGCAGCCGAGAGACACGGGATTCGAGAACGCTCCGACGTCATCTTCGGAACGTTCCGACATTGAGTGTTCTGAAAGGGGGAGGGAGGGAGGAAGGGCGGGATGGGAGGAGGGCGGCGGAGGAGGAGGGGAGAGGGAGCGGAGGAAGGAAGGAAGGAAGGAAGGAAAGGAAGGAAGGAGTCTCTCAACAGCTAAGCTATGTAAGAAGGACCATGCTAGGAAGTCTATATTTTTTTACAA